ACAATAAGAGAAAAATAAAATAAAATAAAAAGGACACACTACATATGGGAAATTATGATAAGGTAACGAATGCTCTAGGTTATCTTACAAACACGGCAGTGGCTAGTGTCCCCTGTTGTTCTGCCCACAGAGGGAGACCAGAACTTCTTGGATGTGTCCTGAATGGTGTAAATTCAAATGATGACAGGATCAAATTGATAGACACATTATGGACCTAGACCTGACAAGTACGTCTTCAGCGCGGGCGCGTCCTGGCTGACCGCCCCGTGGGTCTGCACGCCCCGGGCCCCCGGAAGAATGCGCGCTGCCGTGCACACAGTGGGAGCCCACAGCCTGACCCTGATTTCGCATCAACTTAGGCAATTTAGCTTTTCCAAGTTTTGTCTTTGTGATAAAGATTGTAAATCGCTGTGACAATTAAATAACGATTTTGCCAAGCCAAAACACATACCGACCAGTGAGAAAATGCTGCAGGAAATGAGCGATTTTTAAATATAAGAACTGTGAGTAATTGCTCCACTCAATGTACCCTAAAAAGGTAATAGACTTGGACAAACGCATGCAAGCAATTTGAGACACCTGTCGGCGAGCTGGGGAGCAGGTTCAAATGCTTCGCTACAGCAACGCTTCCTCCAAAACACTCAGGGTCTCCCACCCACCCAGGTGAACTTGTGGAATTGGGTGATTAAGGGAGAAATGTGGGGGAAGAGAATTAGTAATTTAAAGGCAATCTCTCTCTTCCTTCATAGCTTAACACCATAAGTTCTAACAGCTAGAGATCAACACGCCAATTAGTTTCTTGGCTTTACAGATCCCAGGGCCATTGTACTCTGTCCGTTACGTAAGTCCATAGAGTTTCATCCTCGTATTTCCATTTGTATGATGACTGACAGATTCTATCACAGCAGCTATCTAGACGTGTTGTGGCTGGGCACAATCCCCAAGGACGTCAGCTATCCGTTTGAACTTGAGAATTCCGAGTGAGCTAGCAAATGGACAAAGGAATTCACGGAAAAAGAAAAAGTACTTTCAAGAGAGCATGATTTGTCGAGACATTCAGAAATGCCTCTGTGAAACCGTATTTTGGTCAAGACAATGTTAGTTCTAAGTATGTGGCAATTATTCTCGGATTCTTGGCCTGTCAACTAAGGTGGTATCTGTTTAGAAATCAGGTGCAGCGATTCACAAAGGATGCTGCTTCTGATCATCCTCAAGAGAGGATTCTTCAGGTCAGTGGGAGACAGGTGGAGAATGAGGGATGCTGTCCCTTTCTACACAGGGAGGCAGAGACCCATCAGGGCAGAAAGAGGCTGGAGCAGGTCTGCTTTGCGAGCACTGGGTCAGGAAGTCACATGGATTCCCGCTCAGTGTGGTGATGGGAGAGCTGGGCGTGCACCGTCACGGGGCTGGCCGGTTCAATCTCTACTCAGCTCAAACTTCTCTTTGGCATAAAGCCAACTCAAGGGCACCTGGGTGGTGCAGTCAGTTAAGTGTCTGACCTTTGGTTTCGGCTCAGGTCGTGACCTCAGGGTCCTGAGATGGAGCACCAAGTCAGGCTCCATACTCAGTGTGGAGTCTGCTTGAGATTCTCCCTCTGCCCCTCCCCCTGCTCAAGCTCTCTCTCTCAAATAAATAAATAAATCTTAAAAAAAATAAAGCAACTCCATCCCTTATAAACATGGGACAGTAACGATTCTAGAAAACAGTGGACACCCTCCACATCAAGTCACTGTGAGAATTCGGGAGAAGAGGACATGGAATGAGACCAACACCAGGGTCAGTGCCATTGGGCTCACGAGCTAACAAAACCCAAACGGATCCCCTTGAACACATTAGCGGTGGTTTTTCTGTCCGTGTCCTTATCTGTTTTCTGGGAGCTGAGCGGGATGTGGTGGGAAGCACGTTTGTTTTCATTTACCCAAGTATCAAAGGAAGCGTCCCCCATTAATGATGCCATTTGCCTGTTGGCCCTACTGACCAACTGCAGTGCTAAGAAGCCGAGGGGAGGCTGCACTCTTACTTTCCTCTGAGAGATCATTCTCCTCCGCGTCTCTCTCCATGTCCTTGCACCAGCCTTCCATCCTCTTTGTCTCCGTGTGCAGCAGCTTCGCAAACCACGAGCCGTCCCTCCGGCACGGAGACACCCTCCCCGTCTCCGCTGTCTCGATGGACGGCTCCAGCCAGGGGTCGGGCAGCGGCAGGCTGCCAGTGTCCACGGGGGTCCTATAGTCTTCTCTGTAACTGAAGAGCCCCTGGGTCCGAACAGTTCTTACGGCCCCATACTGGGTGGGCGTGCTGGGCTCCGAATGCCGCTGGAAGGAGGGCCCAAACTGCAGGCCCTTGTCCTCCATGGTGACGTGTCCCGGGAAGCCCTCCAGCTCCAAGTCCGCCTGGACGGCGGCGGTCACGCTGTTGGAACGCTTGAAACGCCCGTGTCTGCGGAGGGGGAAGGAAGAGAGAGGGGAGACTTTCTGAGCTGACTGTGCAGCAAGCCTACGCCTCGCTCATCAACGACATGCCTGCACCGCGGCGAGCCGACAAGTCAAGGGGAAGATGAGTCTTTTCCTCTCATTACTACTATTTTGGTGTTTCAGCTATGAAAGAACGTTGGGTTTTGCAAATAATTAACCTCTAACATCTACCTAAGTCTCAACGCCTAAATAATGCCCGCTTAAGACGGAAGCGTATTGCGGGGTGCCCGGGGGGTAACGCGTTCCATGAGTCCACTGCCTTGGCCCACTTACTTCCCTTGACAAATCCGCTACAAGTTTGCAAAACCTCCTTTTGTTGCATCTATGCAACAGGAACGCTGTGTAGCTCCTTTTAGGTAAATAACTTTTGGACCCCACTGAGTTTGGGGCACATTGCAGGGCGTGCGTCTCTTCTCCTATCTGAATAACTTACTATCATCCCCATTAAGTCTTGTACGCAAAATAAGGAATCCAAATTCCGACTTGAGCAGGTGTTTTAAAAACATGTTCATCGTACACATTGGAAGGCCGCCCAGGCCCGCACAGCCAATTACTGAAAGGATGGGCAGGAAAGGGCTTGTAATTGGAGTCCAGATATTGCTGGGTGAGAACCCTGTGTGTGTGCGGGGAAGGGGGGGGTTCTTCCAAACTGAACCCTAACTCTACATTTTGGCTTCTCACCAACTGAACCCTCCTATGGCAACAGCTGTGCCCGCAGCTGGTTGATGAGTCTTCCACTTAGTGTCTTTGCTGGAGGCAAAGGAGCAGAGAACAAACCCATGATGGGGATGGAAGGCAGCAAGCCCAGTCCCGTGCAGAAGCTGTCCGCGGTCTCAGCACTCTGCCGGGAACCCGGGAAGCCAGTAGCTTGTGGTCTGAATTTCTTTGCAATCAAAATCTTTATTGGCTGGGTCCTAAAACCCTCCACGATGAGCAATGTCACCCGGGACTAGATGCTAATTGAAGTTGCAGATGTGACAATTCTCTCATTGAATTAGTTTTTTATGAAATGTACAAGATATATTTTTTAAATATGAAATAAAATAATCATCCTGTTCTTGCTACAAAAATAACATTACCATCATAGACATCTCTGTATTTTATGGTTGGAAATCATGGTATAGCTAAGGTCTTAAACTTCCTTCCTTCTCTCTCTCTTTCTGTCTTTCTTTTACCTTTAACATTATTAGGTAGGGAGACATGCACCTGATTCACCCTCAAGCCTATCTGTTCTTCCTTTGGATGAAGAACTTTGGCTCTCAGGCCTGTCAGCCCCTCTGCTTTCATAGGTGGTAAATTACTTTAGGAAGAATTATTCCCCTGCCTCTCGCAAAAAACAAGATGCAGGCAGATGTTCATTCGTACTTGAACGATATAAATTGCAAAGTATAAATATATGACCCTGTTACCACACATGGCATGAATTATTGATGGTCAGCATGATCTAGATGTTTGCAATCAGGTTTCTAACAGATCGCTCTTGCTTGGGAACATCGTATATTGTGAAGGGGCTGAGTTACCGCTTCTCATCTTCCACTTGGATGCCAACAGAGTGGTATTCTCGCAGGCCTCGGCTCTCTGTGTCAGAGTCTGTGGCTGTTTCCACCTAATACAACACAGAACATCTTATTTTAGAACTGAGACAAGCGACCTGGGCAGGGGACTATTGTGTGTGTGTGTGTGTGTGTGTGTGTGTGTGTTCATTTGCTATAACTAATTACACATTTAATTAATACAGAGATGCACTTGACCCAGTAAAATCACAAAAAAGGGAAATGCATTCATATTGGTGTAATTAGACTGCTACTGTGTTTCATCAAATTTCACATAACTACTTGAACTCAGCATTGCACTCTGATCTCTCAAATGATTGCAAATAAAATTGCTTAGTTCAGCTAAGGCAAAAAATAGGCTTTGTTGGATTGCATGATTGTAGGACTTAAAGGCTCTTATCACACCCTACGGTGAAGAAAGTAAGTACAGCATGAACCAGATAGAGCTAACAACCACAAATAAGCCAGTTAATAGAATTACACTGATGGTTTTGCATCCACATACAGAAACACACAGGAAGGAATTTCAGCGTGTATCGGGAATACTGCGGCCATGTGTCCATCTGCCCCTACACACCAGTGTCTTGCATCTGCTAATGGGACTGTGCCCAGTGAGGCCAGGTCAGAACAGAACAGAAACTGTGCATTTTACACGAATCCTTCTCGTGGTTCTATTTGCCAAAACGTCTCCCAAACCCACCAAGCACTTTAGGACTGTTAGGGGGCAGAGCTAACACATGAGGGGATGCTGGTACAGTCCATGTTCTAAAAAGCCCTCAAACTCTCAGCACAAAAAGTCTGTGAAACCGAAGTTTAGTTTATCCGTAAATATTATCCTGGCTACTCCAGTGTCCCTTTCCTTTTTCCCCAGAAAATATTACCTACTATATCAGCGGGACTTTGACCCCAATCCGAAATGTCATAACTAAGTTGTAAACCACATTTTCTCTTAAAAATATTAATGATTGCCATGAGGGTAAGGTACAAATCACTAAACAAATCATTATGACGCTCTCTTTTGCGACTTAGGAGAGTCTGTGATTGTAATTTGCGGCTGCCCCGTGGCCGAGCTCATGGCACCGAGGGCTCACTCAACTTGTGGCAAAGAGAAACAATGCTGTCCATATCTGATGTTTATTTTACTCTTACCACGTGCCAGGCACTGTGCCAAGAGCATAATAAGTGTTATTGCACATAGTGTCCACGGTACCCCTGCTGTGATTTCCTGCCACACTGAACAGCTGAGGAATCAGAGAAGGTGAGTAACTTGCCCAGGGGTGCACAGCTCACCGGGAGCAGAAAGAGGATTCACACCTGCATCTGTCTGACAGCCCCACCACACTCTGTAGTGATCCGCTGTGGCCAGAATAAAGACAGCTGCGTGAAGACCCGGGGCTCCTGGTGAGTTACCGAGTGGAGGAGCACGGCTGGGCACACCCCGTTCCTTGCTGGCAGAATCCTGCACGCACGCAGAGGTCACATCACCTCCTCTGTGTGCGTGGTTTGACGGCTGGGTGAGGACACGGGGTGACCACAGGACGAGGGACATCCTTGAATCCAGATCTAACCTTGCTGCTGTCTCTATGGGGGGTCATGGCTTTGATAAACTTCACCTTCCTGGACATGGAGATTGTTACTCTTATTATTTTACATGGAAAGATTACAGTAACAATTCACGTATTTAAGATGTCGTCCCATGTCAGAGCAAACAGAGCTGCCTTGTGTTTTAACTGCTTGCTATTCCATTTTAGGAACATAACCTGATTTTGTTAACCAGTCTTCAAGGGAGGGATAATCTGGTTACTTCTAGTTTTCTGCCATGATTAATGATGCTGCTACAGATACATGTCTGTGCATGTTTTTGTGAACACAGTCATAGTGTAGGTGATTTTATGCTTCACAATGTTGGTAGATGGTGTCAAATTTGATGGATACATAATTTGGGGGAGATCCATGCATACATATAGTTTTAGAAAGATTCTTGTAATGGAAAGAGCACTGGATTTTATCATTGAAATGTTCAGAATATTTGTCTTATTTTTTCTGCTTCCAGGATTCTAGTCTAAGGAAATCACCTTAAATTCTAACAAGTGTGTGAGGTGTTCATCTTAGTGTTACTTATCAGGTGAAACATGACGGGGGGTGAAGTAGGCGAGCGGTAGCAGAGGGTATATTATGATTTGCTCATGACACGGAACACTACATAGTACGAAGGTGATGGTCATCAGGGCTACACCACGGAAGATGTTTTTGGTCCCATGCACACTAGCAGGTGGCATGAACAGCAAAATCACAGGATGTGTGTGCACACATGAAACACACATGTATTCACAGTCATGTACACACACTACATAAGTGACTAAAACATATAACCAGACAACAGCACGTTGTCTCCCTTCATCCAGTCTCCACGTTCCCTGCGCTAGAATCCTCTACCATTCTGAGTGAAGGAGGAGGCTGTAGCTTTGGAGCCAGATTCTGCTACGAGCTGGCCACGCAACTCTCTGTGAGTCTCTTAAATTTTGTTGAGTCTTTTCTTCCTAATCTCAAAAATGAGGGGACATGAGACACTTCACTTGATTGAAGTAAAACTCCACAGGAAACCAGACTCAGATAAGCTTGTCCACAGCAAATATCGACGCTCTGTCCTTCACCTCAACCGGGAAGACGGTCAGGTGTGTGATGAGATGGATACTCAATGTGAAGGATCTCACAGAGCTACAGCGCTTGTCACATGAAACTTTCCTAAGAAAAAATGACGTTATCTCTGTTTTCAGAAGGGGAAGGCTGAGGGGGATGATAAAATCATATATGGCCCGGGTGAGCTAAACACATAACAATTTCAGAAATCCTGGGAGTGGAGACCCTTACATGGATAAGAAAAAAGGCAAATTCAAGACAAAGGAAAGGAATTACTGCTTTGCACAGTGGAAAGGAAATCAAAGGAATCGCTTCCTAAGACGAGATTCTGGCTGAAAATTCAAGGGATCTTAAAAGTTTTGAGAAATGAAGGCATATATTCATTTTTACAAGACCTGCCATGTTCTAGGCATTGAGAAGAAAGATATATTAACAGAATCGCTAATGCTGAGTGAGATCTTTTTGAAGCAAAGGTGTTTGCAGGGCTCCCTGATGACAGGGGACAGACATGTCCCCAGTCACTGTCGTGAGTGGTGTGTGCCATCACAAGAGTGTCTGGGGTCTGCGGAGCCCAGAGCCCCACACCAGCTCTCCCCGTACGATGGCGGAGCTTGTAAGCTGAGCCACATGCCACGATGGCAGGTGGGAAGGGGGACATTTCTAAATATGGTCTGTTTACAAAGCAAGGAGCTTGGTGTGGCTGGCATGTGCATGCACGTGTGTGTGTGTTTGCATGCACGTGCACACATGTGCACACGTGGGACTGTGCACACAAGTGTGTACATGTAAGTAAATGTGTGAGTGTATACGTGTGTGACTGCATGCATTAGGGCGGTGTGCACATGTGTGTCTGCAGGTGTGTGCACACGTATGACTGCAAATGTGAGTGTGCACGTGTGTGTATGTGTGTGAATGACTGGGTTTGCAAGAGCAGGCACAGAGGTGAGTACATGCATGCACACACGCATGAGTGTGCACACATGTGCATGTGAGTGTGAGCACATGTGTGTACTTATGTGGGTAAAACTGCACACATTAGTTGCACACACACATGTACATGCATGAACATGTTTGCACCTGCGTGGATATGAGCACATGTGTGAGTGTGTGAATGTGTGATTGTGTATACACATGTGTGAGTGACCAGCATGCATGCGTCTGCATGAGTGTGCACACAAGTGTGAATGCATGTGTGCAGGTGTGAGCACACGGGGGCACAAGTGTGTGTGTTGAGTGTGCATACATGTTTGTGCAGAAATGTAAGCATGAGTGCAGGGGAGTGTGTGCATGAGTGTGAGTGTGCATGCACATGTGTGTGAGCATGTGCATGTTGGGTCGTGTGAGCTGGACAGGAGGCGGCCCCTGTGTGCCCTGGTCCCCATCTCCTGCATGGCAGGTGTTTGTGGGAAGTCAAAGCTGGTCAGCCGCGGTCCGGACCCGAGAGAAGCACCCAGGCAGGGAGCTGGATTAGCTCGGCTAATTAGCATCGGCTGCAGCTCCGACCGCACGTCTCTGCTGTCTACCCCGGATCATTTATGCTCTGCCTGCAAAACCGAGCGCAGAGCCGAGCAGGTGCACTGCCTCAGGGCATGGTTACTGCGGTCCCCTCGGGGACCTGTCGTAAGTCCGAGAGTGAGATGCGGTCTAGCAGCCTCGCTGCTGAGAGATGCCCAAGGCAGCACCCGCACTTCCAGGAGCAGGTGCTGCGTGGCTTGCCGAGTGCGAAACGGCTCAGGCCGGCGAGGGAGAAACCCGCCTGAGCGGGCAAACTGACGCGCTCTCAGCTGCACACTTGAGCCGAGTAAGAGGCTTGTGGCAGTTGCGCTGTTCATCCCCGCAGCCCGGTGATGGAGACGGAAGAGCAGGAATCGCTCCCACTTTAAAGACGGGGCAACCGAGGCAGGTGGGCTTGAGGAACCCCTGCATGTTAATCCAAACTGCAGTGTCCGGGAACGGGAGACACTTCCAGCGGACTCTCATCAACGGACACACGTAGCACGGATACACAGAACGGGAACACAGAGGAAAGAGGCGCATGTCAGCATTGAATGAGGAGATGTGAGGGAGGGGCGCCGCGGGTTCGCGTCACCGGGCCAGCCCGTGAGGCAGGGCCTGGAGCTACACCCCCAGACCCGCAGAAATGGGTGGGAAATGCGATGTCGATCCTCTGCCGTCTGCACTCCACAGGAGCTCCTGAGAGCGGGCCGCGGTCGGTCAGCTGGCAGACCCCCGTGAGCCCTGGCTGAGTGTGCAGCGCACTAGCTGTCTCTCCCTACGAAAGACAAGACAGACAGACTGGGGCAGGTCGCTTCTTGCCACACAGCTCGGGGGACGGGCTCCGCACCGACCCCCCGTCTCCTCTCTGGGAAGCGGGCACCCTGCAGGCTTTTCAACAAGGCTGCCCTCCGTCCTGGCTGTGACTCTCACGGCTGTGACCCTCTAGGCAAGTCACTTACCCACGAGCCTCAGTTTCCCCATCGGTAACCTGGATAACGGCTGGCCCCTAGGGCTACGACGAGGTTAAAAGGAGCACGGGCTGGAGAGCCCGAGACACGGCAATTCCGCGAGCCTGCTTCTCAGGGTTGTTTCTGCGTCGTGCTTTCACAGTGCGGACACGCCAGCCAGCCCCCCGGGGCCTCTACGTGTCTGGGGGTCTCCCTCACTCTGGTTCTTCGTGCTTCCCTGTGAGTTGGCTCCCTATGCTGGCCTACGTTTCAACTCTTTGACTCGTGTTTATTCTAATACCTGAGCTCTCTGGCCGTGTTTTCTACCGGCTCCTCAATCCCCGTCAGTCTGATGATGGCAAGGTCACACGCTCACGTGATGTTGTGCATTCCCTCACTGCCACGGAAGACAGCGGACCCTTCACACACGTGCACTCACACTGGTGGTCATGGAACACTCACCCACCGTCACCCGTGCACCCACGTATCCGACACTGACCGAGCACTTGCTATGTGCCAGGCACTGTGCTAGACGCTGGGTGGTGAAGAGGCTGGAGCAGCCGGGCCTTCACACATCACGCGGCGCGGGGGGCAGCGCCGGAAAGGCTTCCGGGGAGGGGTCAACGCGTGAGCCGCAGGGAGCGGTGGGCAGGGGAGCAAGGACATTCCCGCGGAGGAAAGGCGTGGTTGCTAGAAGCAGAAAGGGCCACGGGGCGAGGACAGGTGTCGGGGCTTCCGGGCGATGAAGCGGAGGGAGGGGGGTGGCGCCCCCGACCAGCCGATGACCCGCTGCTCCAGGTCTGCTCTGCTCGGATAAAGCCAGAAGATGACACCCCGGCCTCGTCCCGCCGGGGCTGGTGCGGGCAGCAGGAGGGAGTTTGGGTCAGGTGGCAGGGGAGAAGGCCAGAGGGTGCACGAGCACCTGGAATGTGCAGCCAGCCTCGTTAACTTGCGTACCTCGCACGTCTTCTCTGGAGACATGACTTTGGAGCCGGAGGGACCGGCGTCCGAACCCCGGCCTCCCACGCACTAGCACTATGGCCCCGCAAGCCTGTCGGCTGCAGCAAGTTACGTCCCTATTTGAGCCCCATCTCGGTCCTCAGCAAAGCGGGGCTAATTACACATCATCGGGGGACACGAGTGATAGGGGGGCACCTAGCATAATGCCTGGCATATAGAATCAGGACAGAGAGAGGTGACAGAGCAGTTGTATGAATAATCCAAAAAAGGGAGATAAAATAAAAATTCATGCGTACTTGGCTTTGGAGTATATTTTGGTACTTACATCTGACCTTGGGTATGGCTGATGCTCTGGGAATTCAGAATCCTAAACAAAACAACGAAGCCACAGTGTGGAGACCTGGTTCAGAGGACCTAGTCAAGCGGGCAGTCGCCCCAGCCTGCTCTCCCGTGTCCCCAGGATGCCCAGGACGTTGAGCCCCCTCACGCCAGCACTGAGCACGCGTGGCTCTCAGGCAGAGCTCCGCTCACCCTCCTCCCTGGCCACGAAGCCTTCTGATTTTGGGACTTCCGGCTGGACACAGGCTGAGTGGAGGAGTGACAGGAAGCAAGAGTGGACCGTGCTTGCAAAGGACTCGGCAAGGACACTGCCTCGCTGTGCCAACACGATCTCGTAGGGGAGAGCGGCAGAGGCAAGACGTTGTCAGCGTGAGGCGCATCCCGTGCCATCCTGGGGCTGGGGAGTGGGCTGAAAGGTGGCCCCTGTGTCTTAGTACAGTGCCTCCCGGGCCCTGGGAGTGGGCTAGCTGGACCCAGTGGGGGGCCGCCCCAAGACACCAGGTCTGTGTCTCGGGGAGAAGTCTGGGGCCTCGGGGGTGTGGGTCAGCCCTCGGTGGTCTGAAACCACGGGCCCGGGGTCTGCCACCACAACTGAACACCCAGAGTGCCCTGCGGCCGGTGAAGGAAGCGCCTTCCTGCAGCCCTGGCCTGAGTAGCTGTGAGCACACCTCAGTTTTCCACCGAAGAGGCCTTTCCAACTTCCACCGCTGTATTCCCAATGCCCTTCCCCCGCACTCCGCTGCTGGGGCACAAGACTGAAAGGCTTTCGAACAACTGGGTTTCAACCAAGAAACCATCCTTCTGAAGTATCAAAACAAGCTGTCTCCACACTCGGTAAGCAGCAGGTGGCCCCTAGAAAGTGCCCTGGGTGGGGTGTCTGGGTGGCAGGGGCGGGCGTGAGACGGGGACCCGAGATGCCCTGGGGTGGTCCCCCGGCTGTTGACTTGCCGGCTGGCCCTGCAGCCGAGACCTCACTCTCGCGTCTCCCTGCTAAGCACCCCCGGGCCGCGGGGTCGCTGCGTCTCAGTCTAGCTACCTGCGGAGCCCGGGGGCGGGCGGCACAGCCACGGGGCACAGGGAGGCTACCTGGATCCCGATGGAGGAGCGCCGGCTCTTGAGGAAGTCCTCGGCCTTGGACACCAGGACGGCCTTGTCGCTGGTCCGCGCGGAGCTGCTCTGGCCGTCGGAGGCGAGGCGCTGGGCCGCGGCCGTCTCCAGGGCAAGGCTCATGGCCTTGTTGCTGTCCAGGCTGTCCGTGGAGTTGTAGAGGCCGTGGCTGTCCTGGGGCCACGGGGACGCCCGCTGCGCGCGGCCGTCCTGGTAGGCATCCTGCGTGGATTCGGTGCTGCTCTGTGCGGTCACCGAGATCAGAGGCTTGGAAGTGGTGCGTGGGGGGACGGGCGGCGGCGTTTTCTTGTAATTCGCATAGGAGACAGCTGTAAGGAAAGTCAACGAGCCGTCAGCGGAAGCATCCTCCCCTCCCTGGAAACCTGGTCCACCCTTCACTGCCCACGACCCACGAGCCTTTGCAGAACGTGGGGCCTGAGAAGATAACTCAGCAAACTCCGGGGCACCCCTGCGCTCAGAGACGGTCCACGCAGATATACTCACAACAGTGGGGAATTAGAAAGCCCCCCAAATGCCGCGCCAGCGACCACACTGAGTAACTTCGGACTCAGCAGGACAGATAGCAGGCACGACCCCATTTTCACGCAGGGCAGGGTCACAGGCGATGCTCACTTCGTCACACCGCGGCAAAGCAGGACCTACTCAGCTCTATCCGGGTGAAGGTGGAATATATTTATAAGGAGAACCTGTGTATGAAAAAAGGTTAGACGCACAGGAAGCTGTCCATCAGCTCATCATCGAGGGACAGCAGGGTGACTCTTCTCTCTTCTGCTTCTCTGCATGTTCCAAAAATGCTTATGATGAGTAGGTATTGTTTTTCTAATGGAAAAGCATAGAACGTGAGAAGACCGTTTGCTCCCTGTAAGGACATGCTTACTGGGTGTAAAGTGTCGACGGCGGTTGAGAACGGACCGCGGGTCTCCAAACGCACACCGCACGGCCCTCCCGCACCTCCTGCCTGCCCGTAGCCAGCGCCCAGCCGCCTCCCGCCCTGCACTCACTCCCCAGCCGCCGCCAACCCACCGAGGGACAGGAAATGCCTTTGGACGTGAAGTCCTATTAAATGTCTCTTTAAAGGCCACCCCAAATTCACTAGACATATTTGCCGGGCTCGGGGTGTTACTTATTTTTCCAGCGAGGTGAACGACGCCGTTCCGACAGGAATGTTCTCCGTTACAGTTGATGATTTTTCTTTATCTGGAACGGAAGTGCTCACCCAAGGGCTTCCGAACGGACGCCATCAGCGCGACCCAGCACAAAGGCACCCACAGGGTGCGCAGGTGCGCGGGTTGCTGTGTGTGCCACCACATGGGGAGGGCCCGGCCTGGTCTGGGAGGACAGACTGAGCGGGTTTCCCCTGCGAATTTCAGAAGCTGCCCAGAGCCGGCGTCCTGCGGCGGCCCGTGGGAGCACGTCGTTTCCGCTCTTCTGTTCCTGGGGATTTCAACGCGCTCGCCTGTTCCTGCGATCTCCCCCAGTGACGGTGTGACCGGGGTCAATTTGTTCTCCTAATAAATAAAGCCTCAAATGTCATTCCAAATAAAAATCGGCAAGTGACAGAACAAAATGAGTTTGTCGTGTCAGGATGATCTGGGTTTGAAGGCATAAAAACTGCACATGAAGATTTACACCGTGGTCACGTTTCTAAAAGAATGCATCGGAAGAGACTCAGGAAGGTGGAAACAGACGGAGGAGGGCAGTTACTGGAAGCGCAGGCTTTGAACTCTGTCTGCACGAGAGGAAGATTTTCCCCCCTAATGTTGATTGACCTCTGAAGGAAAATGACTGAACACAGACCATGTTCAAGGCATTATTCTAGGAGATTCAGAGATTCAGCGATGTGCACGGCAGGTTCCCAAGCTCAGACCCTTACCACTGATTTAAGGATACGTGGGCAGGCCTCCTGGGCAGAGGCTGCTGGGCGCCCACAGCCATGCTGCTCGCTGGCCTTCTCCCCGCTGGGGGACACTGTTCCGCCCTCCCAGGATCTTCCCCTCATCTTGCGTCCCGGGCACCATCCTCCAACCCCACGTCGCCTCTGCCTGAATCCCTGCGTTTGCCAGGGTGGCTGGACATCCTCATCCCTGAGCTGTCCTGCCCTTGCTGTCAAAGCGGCTGAAGTAGTTAGGTTGGTGTAAGAAGGCCTTTGTGTCCATCTGATTTCAGAGAATCATAAATGTGCTCACCTGGGCACCTTGCTGTGCTTGGATCTCTTTGCCTCTGAGACACTCCCTCCAGCCACCCGCTCTCTCCTGCACTCACCTGTTCCTTCTCCTCCTCTCTGGTTCCCACACCTTCCCTTGCATTAAACCTCAGAAGCCACCAGACCCCTTGCTCTGCTGGACTCTCCCTCCTTCCCTACTCACCACCCGCCTCTTAAGCCCACCCTCATGGACCCTGCCGAACTCGGTCCTAGATCCGTAGGGATCCACAGGAGTCTGTTTGGGACTCACTGCACATCAGACGGGAGTCTGCTGAGTGCAGAATGGGCCGCTGTGGGGCCGCCACCGGAGGAATCCACAGAGGTGTGCCCCCTGGCCCACAGTCGGCTCTGCCCAACCTCAGAGCTGCCATGAAGCCCCCCTACCCCCCTGGCTCTGACTGGCGCTATACCAGGGCTCCCATTTGCCTTGGTGTTCAGAGCCCTGTCACCCCACGGGCATCGTCCCTTATAACGGACATAAAACTAACGGCTCTGTGTTCAGCGAGGGACAGCGGTCTCAGCGGCCCCTGTGTGCATGTGCTTGCCACCTTGGCTGCTCATCCCCCCACTACCTAGTCCTCTCCTTGGAGGCTTCTGCAACAGGTGGTCAGGGCAGATCCCTGGGTGCAGGTTCCTTCCCCCGCCCCCCTCACCTGTACCTTCCCCTCCCTCCCCTCTGCACACTTCTCCTGCTATCCCTTACTGCTCTAAGGGTCTCCAAGCACTGAATCCAAAGCCCATTTTCAACTCCCCAAGCTTGTGACTGTGTTGAGCCCATTTCTTTCTTGAAAACGGTTGCTCCTCCTACCTTTACTGTTGGGCGAGTTCATTCTATTTCTCCACCTTCCGTGACAGGCCCCCTTCCTAAGGCTCCAGAGCTGTCAGGGAATGACTCCACGCTCGTACTGACCGCCCACACTCTCCTGGATGTGGGGCATCGCTTCTCCTCTGCAGCCTGGTCTCCCGCTCCGCGCTCGGCCCCCTCTGTGGCCCGTCTTGTGCAAGGGCGCCCCTTGGGCTTGTCTTCCAGACAGGACAATGATCCTCCCGGGCCCCAAGTCAGTCCAGTCCGAGCTCAGTCAATGGCATCTATGAACCAGCTCAGCTCCTGCAGTGCCAAGTCCCGAGCGCCTCGTTGTGCCTCTTCTTGGCTGTTGCCGGCCTCGTTCGGCACCATCCTCTCTAGCCTGTCACTCCGCTGGACCACCCACACCCAGCGGCCACACGGACGCTCCCACAGACATCCCTGTGGGCCCCCCACGTCGTGCCCCCGCAGGCCCTTGCCTCCTTCCCGTTATTTCCACAAGTGTCTGATACGAGAGGTCTTATGTGTCCCCTGACTCTCAGGCCCAGGAAATGTCCCCCTCCGCCCTCCCGGCCCCGTGCCTACATCCATGGCAGCCTCTGTTTGCGGGGAGGGGTATTCACCAGACTCTGACCTCTTTCATGCTGGGGAGATATGCGTTCCCTCGATGCCCAGCGTAGTGCTTTGCACATGTCTAGGGCTGGATGAGCTTATGGAAAAATCCCGTAGCTTTACGACACGGCCAAGGTTCCATGGGGACTCCACCCCAATGACCCGGGGCCATGCAATTTCAGAATAGGGGAGCTGCTGTAACAGAAGTAAAATGCAAACCACAGAAAACCCACATTCCTCAGGAAGCTTATTTTTGGCCATAGAAAAACATCTACAAATATGTTTGTGCTTCTCAAATAATAACATAAAGTAAAATAACTTATGTATGCCATCTGTAAGCTTAATTTAAACGTACTGTACAGTTGCACGAAGGGGAACTATTCCCGGGCTCTGATAAGACTCCAGGGCACAGCAGGATTTGGTTGGAAATCATTTTGAACATCTGGAAAGAGTGAAGCTGTGAGAGGCAGAATCTCTAGAACTTTTCCAGGGGCTGGAAAAGGGGTTGGAAATATCCTGCTGACCCAGAGTCGACACGGACTCTCTGCTGACTCAGGGGGAAAGCGGGGGGTGCCTGAATGTCAGGAGCTTCTGGAGAGAAGCCCGGCCTGGGACGGGGCGCGTCGGGGACCGGGTGCATCACACAGACTGCAGAGACCAGAGGGACAGGTGGACGTCTAGCCACCACTGGCAGACGAGAGGGAGTAGGAGAGCAAGCAGGACTCCTCCTGCCCGAGGAGCATGGAGTCTGAGGACTGTCTGTACTCACAGGTCAGTCGGTGGGCAGCATTTGGGAGAAGGGCTCCAGAAAGTGGCCCCGGGCCAGGTTTTCAGTGCAAGTGGAGAGAGGCAGAGGTCTGAGCGGGCAGCACAACGAAACGCAAGTTGATACACCGGCCTTCAGGGCAGAACCCTGTTCCCAGAGGAAATGGAGTCAGGAGCAGCTAGGCCAGCCGTTTCATCAGCTGCCTCCACGGGGCTCGGTCCTTTTCTAACTGATGCCGCAGGCAGACCTGCGGCTCAGATCGGACTCCGTCAGAGCTGCTGAAAGCCGAGGCTCCTGGAGGAAGCCCGTGGGGGAGCCCAGCCACGAGGCCTGAGGTCTGAGCAGCTGATGCTTGCTCTGCGCCCGGACACCTCACAGCTCGCTCTGGAGGCCAGGGGGACGCACTCTTCTCGAGGAAGCATGCCGTCCTGCGTTGGCGAGAGCACTCCAGCCCGACACCCAGCCGGACCCGGACCCGGACCCGGGGCATTAGTGGATCCAGGCAGGGCTGCGGAGGGGCCTGGCTGCCCAGCTGTGCTCATCTGTCGGTCTGAGTGGAACTGAGGTGCAGCAGAAATATGCAGGAGGTGGGGGTCTAGCGCCGTTCCCAGTCCCATCCATCATCGGTGTGTTCGGCGACAGCCGGTGGGCAGGGCCCTGCATGGACCCCAGCTGTGCAGTGAGCAAGGAGCCCTGCCCTGGGGGTTCTGCTCTGGGGACTCTCAGACCCTCACATTAGATACGTCCGTGGGTTACCAGTGGTGCTCAGCTGGGGCGGTTGCACCTCCTCTCTCTCCCAGGGGGCCCCTGGCAGGGGCTGGAGGACATCCTTGGTGCTGTCACAACCGGAGGGGGGCAGGGTGCCACGGGCTTCTAGAAGGAAGCGGCCAGAGGAGCCGCCAAACCCCGTCCAGGGCACAGCCCAGCCCCCGACACGAAGGGCTACCCAGCTCAGAACGTGATAGTGCTGAGGCTGGAAACTCAGGTCAGGCGAATCGTTTCATCCTTCTGGGCGGGACTCCTTGGCTCCTCTGTGACACGAAGGGACACGTCACATCCCAAGGCATTCACCGTCCTCGCTGGGGGGAACGATACGCTCCTAAAAGCTCAGAAAACATGCCTGTCTAGCAGTTTACAGGTGAGGCCTCCTGCTGATCCCTGTGTAGGGCCTGGGGCTTTTGGTGACTTTCATTCTCCACCACTCAGGCTCACGTCAGAGGAAGCTCCACTCGTATGCTGGCCTAAGGCCCTCAGCTCCCCGCACTACTTCCTGGGAGCTGGAGCCTGACCAAATGAGTAGATTGTCCTCTTACAACTTGTCATTTCCTTCTGTTTGGTTACGAGCTTTGGCGATTCCCTCTTCTTCCCAATCTGGATGGGGATTACTGCGCAGAGTGTATTTCTCTCCTTGACAGTGGTGGCCCACTGGAAACCTTGTTTCTTACTCAGCCTTTCTTAATTCTACTTCACAGTGTTAATGTATCAGGGTACGAAGTGTGACACATACACACGAGTAAGGGGACGGCCGGGGAAAGGTGTGACGAGAGCTCGCTGAGGGAGGACTTCATACGGCCACACGGAAGCTAGGTGGTTGTTTCGATGCTAACCCGTTCGGCACCGTTCCTTTCCCGCAAGGAGAGTCTCGATCCCTGACGCCATCTTCAGACGCTGTGGAGCCACCAGCAGGTAGGCACGGCCACCCAGCACGCTCCACGTGGCATATGCACGCGACACTGGCAGGTCCCGGGAGGAAATGCTGCTTCTGCAGCAACGGCAGGTCTCGGCACGGGCTGGGTGGCAATGAAGGGCAGCCGAGAAACACGGGAACAGAGATTAAGAAGGTACTTCTGCCTTA